AGGCGCTGTAGCGCAATACAGATTCAATGACGCCTCCTTTTCTCCAGTGACTCCGCCTCTAGACTCCGCCCTCAAGGCCCGCCTTTCAGTGAAAAACGAAGCTGCAGGACGAAAAAGCATGAAAATCGTCACTCGCACGGTCGTAGAGTTCTTATGGAGAAACTGCTGGGGGATGAGGGCGTAGTGTTGAGATTGAGTTAACTGGGCACATACAGGCTGGGATCGAAATGGGGTTCTATTTAGGGCAGTTGTCATGTTTTTACTGCTTTTTTTCTTCCCTCTCAAGCTACTCATTGTCGGAATCGAGCTCCTCAGAACCTTGTCGTCTGCGAACTCCTAATCCACTATCTGTGATGGCGTATGATCACGGACTTTGCCTTCAAAGAGATAGACTGTGTTGGTGTTACAACTCATTTGTTCTCCTACAAGCTGAAGAGTTAAAGTCAAGCAGGAAAGGAAGCTTGTAGGTTTTCTTGTGCATTGCAGTGGCAGCAATCGTCGCGCCCTTAGTAGCAACTCAGTTGCAACCGCACGCCTATCTGTTATGTTTTGCAGCAGGACTATATGGAATGATGCGAAGTTGGCAAATATTCTTCAGGTCAGCCAACCGTCGCTTTTATTCAGCTGTGATCCAGCCACGGTACTGCATCGTTGTGTGAAACTCTGGGGAAGGGAGTCGTATTTTGTCGTTGGGAGATAGGGGGGAGGGTCGTATGTGCCTTTGAGATAAATTTTTCGGGTTGGTTTCCCGTGACCTTTTTGCGTGATTTTTCCTGCTTCATGTGCACTATATACCCTCTCCCCCCCAACCGTTGAGGATGGTCGGGTGCATGCATCGTTCTTGGCCCATATGTTGAATACTCGTGCAGCTTTTGACATAGAGACATTGCGAAGCCAGAACTTTTGAATATGAAAGTGCTGAGCACTTGCCTGTACCCGATCCCGGTAATTTTACCAAAACTGTATTAAGCGTGAATGCTTTACGCGATTAATCTACAAGATTACAGGCTTGATTGAGCATAGAGAACAGCATAAAAGTTCCTAGAAACGTACGAGATGGCAGAGCGATTTCAGCATAAGTGAGTGCTCACGCGAACTGTACAATTCTCAGTTGCTCCCCAACACAGAAGTGAACATACAGCTCATAAGGCGCTCGTGAAATTGAAGATCATTTGGAAGCATTGATGCTACTGCTCCGACTGAAGTGTGAAGATAGCACACCTCCTGCAGCTTCAGAAAAAGGAGCTTTATTCTGCTGACTGTGAAGGTCTACGCCTTCGCAGAGGGTCCCATTATAATGTATGTGAATCTTCTTCACAAACGTCATTGACATGTACACTCCCTTATCCCTGATACGGAGTAGGCGTGGAATTTGAAGACGGCTTACATTGGGTTACTCGTGGAATATTTCAGTTTGAGGCAACTGTCATCTTGTTCCGTGTTGACAGAGACTTAACCACAATTGGGTCAAAATGAAAATATCCCCCCCCCAGAAGCACGTCACGTTTAGCTGAAGTACGCAACCACGCCTGCCTCCTCTCAGGAGTTCCCAGTATACGTTCAGCATCTGACGGCGTTCAGCGTAGAGAATATGATACAAAAAACTCCACCGTAAGCACTGATAGGCATACCTGCCATTGCTTCAAGATGAAATATCTACAGAGTGTTTGCTTTTCCAGAACTCTCCTCTCCAAACAGCGATGCGCTCGATTCAAAGAAAAAGACGTGCTATAGCGGAACCTTCGGGTGTTTACAGGTTCACTGTGAGCTCCATACTCAGGCGTTCCATCGTTGGCTGGAGAATCCAAAGGGATCGTACTTGGTTTCTGTAGGGGGGAGGGTTACATTTGCTCGTGGAAGCTTTTTCGGCTGTACATTTTTTCGTTTCACGCGATGCGCGCTGTATCCCCCAAGGCGGCGCCACCGCCGAACTATAATACTATTTGACTGGAGGTGTCCACGAACCCCCCCATCCCCGCTTGAAGGCACGAGAGCGTAAGTGCTGTTGAAATATGGAAGGGAAGTTGCCAAGTGACTCGTGTGTGAAAAGAAAATGCAGTGAATACTGTCGGGAACGCTTTTAATAGAACCCCTCCCAGTTCTGAACAATTGCATGGACGATAGGGTAAAATACCGCGCGTTAGGACATCTTGATTGTCTCTTGTGGGGTCTTAGGGTTCATCACGAGGTCCAGTCGCCTGATCCCTCGGGATGAACCCTAAGACCCCACAAAAGACAATCAAGTATTCATTTCATGCTACATACTTGCCTGGTGGCATCGCTGTAGGCTGGAAGGAGGACTTTGAAGGCGGAGTCTGGAGGCGGATTCACTAGGGAAAGGGAGTGTCACTGGAGCAATTTTGTGCCTCAACTCCTTTACCTTACATCTTTCCGCTGCAAAATTAGCACAAGGTTATCTTGCGGACCACACTACCCTTCCCACATGAACTTTACATTTTCACAGGTCACCGCAGACCTTTCCTTCACCAAAATATTTATGTTAGGAAAGTTGAGTAGAATAGTTGGTCGGTCGCGGAAGGAAATCGCATCCGAGGACATACGTTGGGTGACCCCATTTGGCTGGCCCTTCCCTCCCCCGTTGAGACCTTCATTGATGCTTCACTCCCCTCAGTGAACGCCTCACGCCAGGACGTTCATTGAAGAGAGTGCTTTTAAGGTGCCGGGAGTGCGGCAAAGCAGCCTTCTCAAGCAGGAATTCACCGCAGGACTCAACGCTAGAGGTAGCAGTGCTGCAGCACGTCGACTCTTAACGCTCGCAGTGTCAGTGTCTCTCGTGTGTATAGATTCCTCTGTCCCTGCGTCTGTCCAGCCGACTAGCTAGGGAGTACTTTGCTAGTGAGCGCGATAAGCGAGTGGGAAGTAATGCTCCACACCCAAGTTACACAGATTTAGCATCAATTTTGGAGATGGTGTGTACTACCGTAACTTGATGTTCTGCTCAACTGTCTTCCTGCTGTGTACGCTCACGTGAACATATCGCATCCCACATCACCTTTTACACTCCTCACTCCATTCTCACCAATCTACCACCTAGGAGTTTATTCACGGGCGCCGAAGCTCTTTGATGGGTGCCTGTCCAAACCAAAAACCTTGACCGCTGACAATTTCGATGGGGTAAAGAAACTCACGCCGCAGGAAAAACTCCACGGCACCCTGGATACCGTCCATCGCAGCGCCAACGCGGCGTAGGAGACAACCTTTCGCGGCCCTGTGAAGGCCGAAAAATTTGGAATTTCCGCCGATAAACGTTAGGCAACACAATGATATGGAGAGGGGGAACCACGAGAAGGCATATTTAATGACTTAGTTACATGGAAGGAGCTTGCAAGTAATCTGTGACAGTCACATGGAAGGAGCCTAAAGCAACATTGAGGGATAGCGGAATTCTTTCCAGGAGAATCCATTTTTCTAAGAAGCCAAGGTTGTCGTTACACGCTTCTAGCGTGAAAGTAGGCAGACATAAGTTGGCGATGTGTCACCTAGTTCCTTCCCATCAGAGGACGATTACAGCAGATCTGCTTCTTGTCCAGCACGACATCAAACGACACGCGCCGCGTCCGCATCGCCGGTGTGTTGCCCTTCACCCCCACGCCTCCCCCTTGTCTAGCCCGGGACTGTGGCAAGGCAATCGCATTATGTCGCGCTGGAGGGCGTGGCAAGCGACGCGCTGTTCAACAGACGAGTCGAGTTTCTGCTTTTTTTTTTACATGAGTGTTAAAAAACAGGAGTATGTATGTCATAGCGCCCGTCACGGAGTCTTGCCTGGGGTCGAATTCATGTAAGTTTCGGTGCTCCAATCAACAAACTGAGACCAATGGAGGAGTTGCCGCGCGTGGTTCCTTGATATGCAACACGCGGCGCGGCAAAGTGCTATGATTGTCAAGCTATAGCCGCGCCATGCATCGAACGACATGGCCACGTTCACGTCGCCGGTGTGTTTATCTCCGCTCCTGCCCCACACTCCCTTCCCTTCCTTTTTTGAGCGAGCTCTCATTCCTACATGACACGACAAATCACTGAAAAGTCGGGGACGTAGAAAGTAGCCCTAATTGTTTTCATATACAGGTCAAGAGATGTTTCGGTCCTCAGTTCGTACCTTATATCTATTTTTTCCTAGCGGATTCATTTCGACAAACTTCTTCATCAAAGCGAGATTGTTTGACCTAAAACATGATAATGTAAAGTCCCAGAAAAGTGCTCCTGTCATATGGGTACCAGGTTCTAGTAGAATTCGTCTCGTCTTGTGAAGAGGAAAGGATGGCTCCATAATGGACAGCTTAATGTTGTGTCAGTGGCTTTACAATCCGACGCAACAACATGGACGGATGGCCTAACAGCAAGGCGATATTCCAGCTCAGTCCCTACATTCCCCTTTTAACTTGTTCGCTCTTGTGCCGCACAGCTGAACAAGATCAGAGGTGTCTAAGAAATCGCAAAAGTAAATCACCTAGTGTAAAAAGATTTGTTTATGTCGTCGCATAAAGTCGTCTGTTGAAGACAAAGGTCACGATAAAACGGCGAGGCGTTCAGGGTAAGTACCCCCAGCACGGAATAATATTGCGATTCCGAGCAGGAGCTGTGTGACGCTTTTCCCAACCAATGGCGTTATCGACATGTTGCACCTCCTAACCAAGGTGCAACATGCCGAGCCGAACGCCTGCTGTACCGCCCGCCCACGAATGGCCGGACAGTCACATCGACGCTAGTACTCTCATTTATGAAGTACAGTTGATATGAAGCGTTGCTACATGGACATGGGAATACATACATACAGCCTTGCTATCAAAGCGGATGTTGGCACGATGCCAACGAGAAACTCGTCCAATGCTCGTCCATTGCTGAGCAGAGCAAAGGCTTCTTTCGCAAGGTTTTAGCCGTCAAACTTCGCTTTTTCACCATTTTCTTCGCTACATAGCAGCCCTGATATTATTTTTGAGCAAGTCCCAAATTATCGTGCCTTGTGCTCTGAAGGCAGATCTGCCTTCATTCGATGTTGAGACGTCCTCTGTGCACAAGTAAACCCCCTTCGCGAGCAGCAGGTGTCTTCAAGGCAACGTCCCGCCCACTGCTCAACGCAAAACCCAGCATCCATCACTTAGGGATTCCTAGTGGTACGGATGTTCCGTTTGTAGTACTCTCGCATTTCGAATAGTGAGAGTGGGGTGATATGGGGAAAAAATGATACCAACAAGTGAAAATTCGTTCGACCATCCCCGCTCTTTGACCTGGGCACGTATGAGCTCCATTCGGCATGGGGTCTAGTGGGACTCTAATGAAAAGGAATATCATGCACCACAATGTTGCACCTTAGGTTAGGCGCTATATGGCGCCCCTGATCGGAAAAGGCGTCCACGCAGCTTCTGTCCAAGGACATCAAAGCATCCTATCTCTCTAGAGGTCGACTACTAACAAGCTCGCCTATAAGAGCCTAGAATACACTGATGTGTTCACCTTCCAGCTCGCACAAAAAATGGTGCCATCTCAGAAAACCCACTTACCAGTGCCTCTGCGACTTTGAATGCAATGCGCGGTGCAGCTCAAAGGACTTCATCAGAGCTGAACTCGGCGTTAAGTCGGACAGGGAGAGGCACTTAAACACATCCTGTGCACTAACCTTCCCAGATCGTGTTCTTTGCCGTGGTGGGGGCGAATGGGTCTGCAGCTGCAGTGGCGTACCACTTTCTCCGGTCAAAAGTGCACGGAAAAGGGGATAGGGGTTGGTAACACCTGGGTCCAGTTTCCATACTCTGCCCGCACTACCGCGCGACCAGCCACACGCCCAATCATAGCCGATCGCGCCCCTCGTCTGCGCCCTCTCACTTCCAGTTGCTCTCTACCGCGAGGTGCGCGTTTCAGTGCTGGATTTCGGTATCAACTCAAGTGCGACACCTTGGGGATAGTCGTGAGACGACATGATTACCCTGTAGCTCCGCTCCCGCGCTTTTTTGGAGGAAAAAAGTGAAACGGCGTTGATTGAGACCAATCTGTCTTCCAAATGGCAAGACCGCCTTTGGAGGTGAGTGTACAGTTTGTCTTCAATGAAGTTTTTGTACACAACTAGGGCTGCAGTAGTGAAATTGGAATCTTTCTACTACATCAAAGAGAAGAAGTGCGTAAACTATCTCCTCCGCGCGAAAGGAGGTTTCGCAATACCGTAAAGAACGCTTCGCGCTAACAGCCCTTCAAATGTACCTGCCACCCCCTCCTCAGGCGACCTGCCCTGAAGATCATTATCATTGTTTTCTGTTGCCCAAAACTCCTGTTTTATGGACGGAACAACTATGAATATTTAAATGTTATATGTTCACTTATCGTCGATAATTACAGTGCTCTAAACAATAGTTCTCAGCCATATTGAGATCAAAATCCATCCCGTTGGCGCGGGTCATTCGGACCGCCCTGACTAGCTTAATCGTCTTTTAAGCACGGACCCGAAATTCAGCTCACGTCGCATAAGGGCCAGTTCGAAAGAACAACGTGCTTTGTGAGGCGAGAATGCTGAGCGATGGCGAACCTTTTCATAGAGAGAAATTCCGATTTCAACCCTCTTACTCCTTTTTCCATTGTCCGCTTCACAAAGTAATAAACCTGAAGGGAGAATGATTAGCGGCAAAGAAGAGGCAGAATAACCAGAAGGCTTTGTGTCACCTGTGTTCTCTCCTGTGAGGTGAGAGATCCACTCACGGACTTTATCTTACTTTCCCTTAAAGTAGTAGTAAATCGAGAGCGGCTCAAGTGAGATGCGAGGTAGAGGGAAGCTCACCTCTTAGAAGCCTCCCTTGTTTCCATATAGGTATCATCCTCTAGTATTGACTTTTGAGACCTTTGAGAGAGTTCGGATCGTTGCGATCGCATTGACCGTTGCGAGACATCAGTCTTTTGAACCCTTCGTGACATGCTTACATCTAACGATTGCGAGGTTTGAGTATTTGCGAATCTCTTCTTCCTTCTTGATACTGAAATGTGACTCTTAGGTCTACTACAAGACCTTTTAGTTCTGGGAAGTTATGACAGATATGATGTTTGGAACTTTTTTCTTGAATTTGCTGCCTAATTTCAAAAAATGCTGGTTTCGATGAGTTGGCGCTGCTTGCCGCTACGCCTCCGGGAGACGGGCAAAAGTATCGTAAATTGCCGCCTTGTCGCGCGCGGCAATGGGCACGACATTTCCTCAGTTTGCGCTACCCTTTTAACTGGAGTATCGATTTTCATGCGAGACAAGGACATGGTAGACACTTATGTCTATTACTGGGTTATAGATAGTCTTTTCTCCACCATTACAACCTAAAATCATCGTCATTAGCGGGCGCGACGTCGCACGCGACGCTCACTGGCGCGGCGAACTACGATCCTTCCTGCCACATACCCCTACGCACCTACTCCCAGATCTAGTGAGGAAATTGGAAAATCCCTGTGCCAGGGATCCGCGATCCTCATCGTTGTCGGTTCTCGTCAGGGCCAACTACGCCTTTCATCCATACAGAGCCGGTAGTTGCTACCAGAGAAGCGTGCAGCATCGTAATGTGTGAAAGCCGGGTGCCATCAGTACGACCCCCACTTCCCGCAAATTTCCTGATCTGGTACACCTATAACGTGGTACCTACCTCCAGGCATCTTTTACTACTATACACACCAACACCAGATGACGGAATGCTAGCAAATGAGCACCACCACTTTGGAAATCACCACAGATATGATCCTTCAGTTCTCAGGGGTTATGACATACATCTCATTTCTTCCATGAGTTGGCGCTGTTTGGTGCTACGCTACCTACCAACCAGATTTCTTGGGAAAATCCCTGCGTCAGGGATCCGGGGGTCAGATCCTTAGTCGCTTTGTCCCGAGGCCAGCCAGGTCTCTATCCCTACGGAGCTGGTAAATGGCTACCAGAAAGGCGTGCAGCATCATGGTGTGTGTGGAAAAAAGGTGTCATCAGTACGACCCCCCAGTCCCTGTAATTACCTGATCTGGTACCCTTATAAAGTGGCACCTACCTCCAGGCATCTCTTACTAGTTCACACAACAACACCAAATGATAGAGCTGCTATACTACGCCACCTACACCCATATCATCATTGGGAAATCCCTGGGCCAGAGATCCGTGGGCCAAGTCCTTGGTCGGCTCGCGCCGCACCAACCGGGCCTTTCATCGCTAGTCGGTAGAATGCTGCCAGAGTACCGTGTAGCACCTGAAAGTATGCTGCACGCTACTCTGGTAGCAATTTACCGGCTCCGTAGATATCTGAAAGTAGGCTGTCGTCAGTAAGACTCCCCCCCACTCCCAGTAAATTTCCTGATCTGGTCAACCTATAAGTGGTACCTACCTGCAGGCATCTTTTACAACTACACACACCGACACCAGATGATGGAACTGCTAGCAAATGAGCATCACCTCGGTGGGAAATCACCACGATACTGCTTATCAGCCCTTTGAGAACTTCCGTTCATCACGAAACCATTGCAAGTGATCAATATACGGACTGTCAATGACCATAGTCAATGAGAGGACCGACTGGAGTCGGTGGTGTATCGTTCGTTCATTCGCTTCCCTTTATCTATTTGCCTATCAACCTTGTCGCTCGCGGTCTCTCTCAGCCTTTCTCCGAGCAATCGCGTCCCATTAGAAGTGTGTGGAACAAGGATTGCTATCGTTCTAATCAAAGTCTCCCAGTGGCTCTTTGCCTGCACCTCCCTTGCAAAGGCGATTAGCGTTAAAATGGCCGGAGATCGATGACTGCGACGGTCAGAGAGGATGCAGGTCGCGCGCTAGGTAGGATTAAGGCGCGGCTTAGGGGGTAAGTAAGGGGAGACGAGGGATATGATGAAGGGCTGAGGGTCGATGTGAAAGGGCCACCACTTCGATAGCTTAGTGCCAGGCGGGGAGGGCCCGGCAATCGATTGGGCCTAGTCTTGCTTAGCGCAGTTAGGGGGTTTACATTACGGCCGGGCGAGTGTGAGAGAGCGACGTTGGTGTGGAGAGAGAGTGAGGAGAGAGACCACCGAGCATTCGGCCGGAGAGGAGAGAGAGAGAGTCGGCCGGCAAAACACACTAGATTCATCGATCTATTGCACCGGCTCTCGCACTACTCTATTTGTTTATTGTTTATGTTGTTGTACTCGATTTTGTGACCTTTCTCGTACGAGTCGCTCCATTCCGCTTTGAGTTCGCCTCGATCGCATTCTGCGACTTCCCACTCGCGCACACCTCTCTACTCTCTCTTTCGAATTCCTTTGAGTGATGGGATCATCATACGTAGGCGACTGATCAACGACCATCATCCTTAGTGCTATGTAGTGCCTCTCTAGCTGCTTCCTATCGACGCCCTCTTGAAGGCAACTCGCCAGTCTCGATGGTAATGAAGCTGTAATTAGTGCTGTTAGCTGCATTGCTCTGCGAGAGAGTGAATTGTCATCTCTGTGAGCGCTGCTACGCCGTTACCATGGACGTTGTTTAAATGCATCTCTCTGTGCTTTCGCCGTAATGCCTAACATTTAGTTTGTCTCAATTCGCCTTGTGGTTGTTACAGATTCGTCCGTTACTATCGTCTATCCGTCTAAGGATGGACGTCAAGTACAAATATGCAATCGTGCGGGTCAAGGAGTCATCTGTGATAGACTTTTTTGGTCTCATCGTGAGTTTGCCACTCTCTTTGCTTTCCCCTTGGTGACCGTTCCGGATCGACTACCACTCTGGAGCGTCACTGTCAACAATCAAAGTCCTGCCATTGTTTCCCCTTGTACTGTCTTGTTTCGATCTAACGGGGCGAACAGAACCCTGGACATCCTTATGATCTCATAGTCACCCTTTGAATCTCTTTTCATCTTCGTCTCTGTATTTCCTGCTCTTTCAACAACTTTTCCCAGAGCATCTCACGATACTTGCCAATCGCAGAGCCTCCCTCCTCCATCCTTCTTTTCCTTCCTTCCTTCTACCTTCATTCGTCCTTTGCCTCTTCCTTCAACTGCTGGGTCAGTAGATTCTATGAGAAAGTACCCCTGCACCCTCGCAGCGAGGGCATGTCTGGTTGAAGAAGTGCCCTGTAACCCACCCAGAGCAGCCTTAGGACTAGGCTATGTTTGCCAAATTACAATGCAGATCAGGCGCGACTAGCGCACAATGCCGCCCGTCCACAATATCGGAGCGAATCGCGTTGCCGGATCGTTGTGATTTGGCCCTCTGTTCACTCGCAGACGTCCGACCACAAATCATTGGAGCCTGCCCCTCACGGACCTTTGCAGACGGTGGAAAGGCAGTTGCCCCCCTACGGTGCCGTCAAGGAAGGCACTTATATCCCTTAGTGATATCGATGGTTACTACTCTTTGTATGCATTATGGGTCAATTATTGTAATTGGCCGTTATAGAACCAATCCCTAATCTGATCTAAGGAATTGAGCGCGCATTTGCGCTGACTGACGCACTGCATTTGCAGTGACGAGAGACCGCTTGGGCGAATTTCTAGCATTTACGTTGATTCACTGCGCTTGTTCAAGCTAAAGACACACAGCAGAACCCTTGAATAGCACCCTGATTCTCCCTGTCATAGCTGGATCAGTCTTTGGTCTTAACTATGGACATGAAAAGGGCCAATTAGATCACGTAGATCATATCGCTTTACTACACAGTAGTGTTACCATTTATGCCGCAGAGTAAGATCAAAATGCCGATTGGGGAACCGCATAAGTATGAAAATCAGGGAGCGCTCTCGCTTCCTCCAAAGTTCCAATTTGGAACGTAATTTTTTCGATCTTATGGTGCTTCCTGTTTTTTTTGAACTCTCTTGAGGATTTCATCTAGCTAAAGTTTGACTTGTCGCACACTACCATCCCGTTCAGCGCTAAGGAAAGTGTAGAGTTCAGTTATGTGCGTCACCCACAAAGAGATCCTCCTCCCGTTAAGGAAAAAATTATGCAAAATACGACTCCTTCTTCAAAATTCCTTCCTCTTCTGGTAGGGCACGCCTGTTTATCCTACCTATTATCTCCAGTCTTCTACACCACCGAAGAAATTTTTCAGTTTTTCCTCGAAAAAAAGGCGCACTTCGGCGAAGGGGGGGGGGGAACATTTTGCACTTCACTAATTCGTTAGTTTCCATTATACAAGTCTCCTGTGTGAAACCTGTGAACCTTGTAAGCTGGAGCAAGCTCGTCGAGCCACCACGGTAGAACTCTCGACGCTTATAAGCCCCGAAATGGCTCTCTAGATGAGACGAAAAGTAGCGAAAGTGCAAAATACCCCTCCCTCTCCCTGTCGCCGAGCTGCCCCATAAACTACGTTAGCAGTAGGTGGGCGGGAGTTCAGGGTATATATAGCGCTAGTGAAACGGGAAAAGCGAATAAAAGTCAACAATCGAACATTTTTCTCAGAACCAATACGACCCTCCCCTCTACCACCCCTCGCTAGTGACTACTATACGGCCTGCCCCTGATCCCATAGCCCCTAGCCGCTCTTCATAGCAAATAAAGCACAGCGTTTCGTTGATTGGATTTTCAACAGGCATATTCGATGTGTGGATGATATTTACCACTTTCGGGATTTCAATATCCTACGCGGAAGACCCAGTCAATTCAGCTATTGCTTCACCTTCCATTATTCAGCATTTGTTTTTGCAGAAGCCCCAAGGCGTGGTTTGAGCCGAGCATCGCCGAATCCTTGGCGATGTGTCCGCCTCTCGCACTGGTGCTCGTGGCACTCAATGGGACTAAGTGGGAGCATATTTGCCTTAACGGTGGTATTAGGTGGCGCATAGCCGCCGTAATTGCTGAACTAACGCCGTGAGGGACAAGATATATCCTCAGCCTAGCAGGCAAGAGATAATGGTACGGCAAGAGGAGTAGTTATACTCAGTAATACTTGTATATGTTAAAACCGTCACATTAAAGCTTTTATTTATAAAGGTGGCAAGCTATGGCATACCTACTTCACAATATCTTTTGTACTGGCATATCACTAGAATGGGTCCTGCCGTTAGGAAAAAAATGTTGCAAAACACGACATTCCCGCAACAAATTTTGGAGGCGAGGGATGCGCTAGGTATATAACGCGCTATACAGGAAGAATCGAGGAAAGTCACAACTGAGAACATTTTGGGGATCCCAAACGTAAGACGTGCCATCAAGGGGGCCGTACTTCTTTGTTGGGGAGGAGCTGCGCTTTTCTATTTAAAGTCGTGAAATTTTTCTTAGTACTGTTGGTTTTTCCCTTCCACGCACGCTACGTAGCCGTCTCCTCCCCTGCTCGACTCAACGGCAAGATTTTGGGAAAACTTGCTATGGTAGTGGGTAGGTTATGAGAGGGGGTCGGTAGTTTCCTCGCCATTTCGCCCATCGTGATGCTGTGCCTTATACGCCACATTCGCAACCTCGAACTATGGACTCTTGTCAAACAAACGATCTTTCGCTGCGAGGGTCCAGGGGTGGGCAAGACTGAGAAAAAAGGAGGGAGGATGGAGGCCTCACGGTTGACAAGTGTTATAGTCGCGTCGCGAATGTGGCGT